GTGCCCATCCTGCAATGTTCAGGCTGTTTAATTTTTTTCCTTTGGGCTCATTGGTCTTTTTTTTTTTTTTTTTTTTTTTTTTTTTTTTACTGTAAGACAATAGGAAACTGAGATTCATCTGACAGAATTTGTCTTCCCAGGCAACGTAAATTCCCTCAGACCGCCAGTCCAGGGCTCAGACTTAACCTCCATTAACCCAATTCTTTGGATGTAAGGGGTCAGGGCAGCCTGTGCAAGGGAGGAGGAATGTCCTCTTTCCCAGCCTCTGGAATGTGGCTCAGAGAGGGAGCCAGCCCCAGGCAGATGGCGGCCCACATCTTCCCAGCCACCCCCCTAACCCAAGCTTCTTTTTGTTAACCAACCCCCCTCCAAGCAGATGCACAGCCACAGGGGCCTCCATGTGGGGTGTCTTGGGAGGTAGGAGCCCTGGGTGGGAAGTCAGGAGACCCAAGTTCCCTTCCAAACCCTAACACAAACCAGCTGTGGAACCCACACCCCCACTCAGAGCCCTGGGCCGCATGGGCGATTTCCTTACATGGGGACCAGGGCCATGCTCCCTCGCTGGCCAAGGTGCTGCACGGTCTCCCAGACCAGGCGATGTGTTCTACACCCCAAACCATCATCAGTCTCCCCGCGCGCCCAGGGCCACTTCCCTGGGACCCAGCCTGAGACCTGTTAGCCGCAGGGATGTCTCTGGTGTGTGTGTGTGTTTGTGTTTAAGTCTTCAAGTCAACCCCCTCCAGATGTCAGAGAGTCCCGGTACACGGCCTTCCGGGGCCTCTTGAAGATGCTCCAGACAGTGGACAGATTTTTCTGTAAAGGTCTGTGTGGTAGATATTTCAGGCTTTCTGAGCCATCTGGTCACTGTCACAACTACTCAGGCACTTTAGTGCAAAAGCAGCCACAGTTAATATGTAAATGCATAGAGGTGGGGGAGGGATCCTGCGTTTCAGTAAAACTTTATGTACAAAAGCAGGCCGAGAGGGGGCAGAGTTGGCCCTGGGGCCAGAAGTTGGAGACCCCTGCTGTAGCCCATCACCGTCAAGTCCTGATTTACCCTAAGCAGCCCACGTCATGCAAGGCTGCCGCTCCTCGGAATTTCCTGCATTCAGAGAATAATTTCTCTGCTACCTTCCTACTCCAAGTGCAGGCTGTGGGCCTTGGCATGCTCCCATTCCTTACCAACGCGGACCCTGAGCACTTATTAGAAATGCAGAGTCTCTTAGGACACCTGGGTGGCTCAGTCGGTTAAGCATCTGCCTTTGGCTCAGGTCATGATCCCAGGGTCCTGGGATCGAGTCCCGCATCGGGCTCCCTGCTCCGAGGGGAGCCTGCTTCTCCCTCTGCCTCTGCCTCTCTCTCTCTCTCTATCTCTCATGAATAAATAAATAAAATCTTTAAAAAAAAAAAAAGAAATGCAGAGTCTCAGGTCCTGCCCCAGACCTACCAAGGGAATCTGCAATTTAACAAAACCCTCAGGTGATCACTTGCACATTAAAGGTTTTTGGTTTTTTTTTTTTTTAAGATTTATTTATTTATTTGAGAGAGAGAGTATGAGAGAGAGCACAAGAGAGGGGGGAGGGTCAGAGGGAGAAGCAGACTCCCTGCCGAGCAGGGAGCCCGATGCGGGACTCGATCCCGGGGCTCCAGGACCATGACCTGAGCCGAAGGCAGTCGCTTAACCAACTGAGCCACCCAGGCGCCCGCACATTAAAGGTTTAAGGCGGGAGGACAGGCTGGGATTTGTAGTTTGAGGCAGATCTCTCTGGCTGCCGTTTGGGGGGCGGACAGTGGGGACGAAGGTGGAAGCAGGAGGGCAGGGAGCAATGGAGAGGCAAGAGGACCCACAGCAAGGCGGGATGGAGAGACACGGAAGGATCAAGATCACAGGGGTATCAAAAGGCAAAATGCGGAGCGCTGGTAATGGATGAGAGCATGCCAAGTGGGGAGAGGCAAAATTTCACAGACCTCAGCCTGCCCAGCCCCTAAAATCAGGAGGAACCTCCTAGAAGGCTGCAGGAGGGAAAGAGGAACACAGAAGGGCACTGAGAACCCTAGCTGCTCACAGCAAGTTTAGTCTTTAGGTTGAATCTTTTCTTTCTCCTTCTGACCCAGACTGCGATGGGCCACCCTCAGCCCTCGCAGGGGAGACGCTGAGGGCCAACCCCACCCACCCACCCCAGCCCCCTGTGTGGGGAAAGGGCTAGGTCCACACTGGAAATGGGCTCTGGCCATGTGTGAGGTGTGAAAGGCAGTTCCAGGACAGTCTTGGCCGAAACCAACCTCGCGGCTCAGCGGAAAAGTGCGCCAATATTCCTAGCTGGAACAGAAATCCACCCAGAGGCTTTGAAAGGGGGGATGGGTCTGGCGGGGTTGTTTGCCATGTAAAACTATCTGCCTGCGTCTTGTCTTGTGACAGCAGAGAAAGCATCTAAGGCCAGGAAATAATTTTTGATGTGGAGGGAAAGAATGGCTTTAGCAGTTCTAGCCAGCCTTAGGCTTGTGGGTGCTTTGTGCAACCTTGCGAATTCATTGTTTTCCAAATTGCGTGAAGCCAAGAGGTTTCCAAGGAGGTGCCTGGCTCAAGGGCAGCTTTCTCAGCTCAGGAAGGGAGAAGGCAGCTTGGAATCCTTTTGCTGGTCAAATGGTGGAAGGTTTTCAAGTGCAGCCAAGCTCAGAAGCAAGGAGAGAGAGGACAGGAGTGCTCCGGAGCGACCTCACCAGAAACTCAGGTCGTGAAAGCTCCAGAGCATGGTGTCCCAAACTGGGCACCTTGACACTTGGAAACAGAGACTTGTTTGTTGTGGGGGCTGCTCTGTGCCTTGTGGAGTGTTTAGCAGCAGGCCCTGAGTTCTACCCATTATCTGTTAGCAGCTCACCGCCCTCCCAATTGTGACGACCAAGACATCTCCAGACACTGGCAAATGCCACCGGGGAGGAAATTCGCTGCAGGTGAGGAAGAGGATAGATGTTGACTAAGCCCGGCTCCGGGTCGTTGCTGTCCAGAGGTGACCAGCTGCCTTCAGACAATGCCAAGCCAATGCAAGCCCCAGCTGCTGAGAGGCCGTCTGATGTCAGGGGTCCTGCAAATCCTGGAGGGGTTTAGAAACTGGTGGAGGCGGCCTGCTAGAGAGGACACTTGTGCGAGTGTGGAAATCCATGGTAACCCAAGCTCAGCTCTTCGAGCGTCTCCTTAACATGTATCACAATTTTTAATTGTGTTTATTTTTAAAACCAGTCTCCCCCATTAGAATGTAAGCCCCCTTGAGGGCAGAGATCTTGTCTCGTTCATGTTGTATCCTCAGCACCTAAATCAGAGTCTAGTAAATAAGATGTGCTGAGTATCTGTTTCAGGGAGGGAGGGACGGGATTAAACATTTGTTGCATGTCTACACCTGGGAGACACACCTGGAGGACATGTTAAAACGCAGATGGATGGGCCCCCAGAGTTTCTGATTCAGAAGGGCTGGAATGGAGCCCAAGAATTTGCATTTCAAACATGGTACTCAGTGATGCTGATGCTGTTGGTCCAAGGACCACACTCTGAGAAACACTGAACTCGGAACCTCTTGGATCAGGGAGTTTAAATGGTTGGATACCCAGGCCACACCCCAACCACCATAAATCAGAATCCCTAGAGGCAAGACCCAGGCATCTGGATGATCCCAGTGTGCAGCCAAGCTCCAGAACCGCTCACCTGCACCTTCCCCTCTGATCTCACAGCCGGCAGGATTACTCCTGCCTTATACATTAAGACACGGAGATTCGGAGGAGCTAGGTACTTTCCCAAGATTCCTTAACTCTACCAACATTCATCCCTGGTCTTCTGACTCCAGACGCCCTGTTCTTTGCACCACCTTGCTGGCTCCTCCCTCCAGATCGGAGATGAGACCATGGCTTTTTACATCTTTCCAGCTGATATTCATGGAGCACCAACACAGTGGCCAATTCAGCTGTTGTTATTCTCACAAAAATCTGCCAACTATTACTGCTCCCATTCTGCGGAGGGGGAAAACCAAGGCACACAGAGGTGAAGCAAGCTGGCCTTGGCCACTAAGCCAGGAAGTGCTAGGGCCAGAATTGAACGCAACCATCTGCCCTGCACAGTGGGGCTCACACATGGGGGACGAAGAACGTGGAGATGCCAGGGGAATCTGGACCGGGCCAAGGCGAGTAGATGCAACGGCTGGGAGTGGACACGAAGCTGGGGGTCCCAAGCGGGCAAACAGTCAAGGACCCAGAAGTGGACGAGCCACAACCTGGAAGAGACTAGGAAACCACTGGGACCCAGGTTGAGGCCAAGACAACTCTCTGCCTCCGCCAGGTGGCATCTTATAGGCTTCCTGTCTCAGCTGCAACCAATCCTAGCGATTGCCCCACTCTAGGCTTCTAGTCAAAGCATATGATTGGCTGACACCAGCTGAAGCTCGTGGATGGGAGGAGAGAAGGAAGAGCTTCCTGGAGTATTGGTGGTGGCCCCAAAGTGAGCCCGAGACAGCCTCACTTGTATGGCCCACCCCGAGCTGAGCCTTGCTGGTTCTCTCCCCTTCCCTCCCCCCTCTCCTGTCTGGTCCCTCCAACTTCCTGCATTTGTTGGCTACCTTCCCAGCTCTGGACTGCGGCTCGCTCTTCCCGTTTCCAACAGTTCCTCTCCCATTTGTTCGGTGTCACTACGGACAGATGATTTGTGGCACAGTCCATCCCCCCACCCCTCCGCCCTCAGAACCACCCATACCCGAGCTCTCGTGGGCCCCTCCTGCTGGGTGTCCCCAGGCGCCCGTGACACAGGCGAGCGTTTGATTCCTCCTAGTGCAAAGGTGAGTATCAGGCAGAGACCTACCTACTGCGTGCCACCCTGAGGCTTTCCCTGAGTTACCCTGCCATACCCACATGCCATCTGTACAGTGATTTCATATTTTTCTTCAAATCAACTCCCCTTTTCAGCCTTTGACAAATGTGTCTGACGTGGGGTCTTTGTTTTATTGCCACAAGTGGAAAACCCATCTCCCTCGCCATTAATGGAGGATACCAGAACAAGAGAGAAAATGGGGGAAAGAAGGTAAGTCGCACTAAGTTCTTTTGTCTTTAGGGGTTCGAAGCCTGCCCGAGACTCGATGCCTCGCTGTCCGATAGACAGAAGTTAAAGGCAAAGTACCATCACTTTCCAGTCTCGACGCTATCCGAAAGCCTGATGGCGAGCACTTGGAAAGGGAACTTTCTCGCCAAGCTGCCGCCATGTTGAAGGCCTGGCCCCCGCCTCTCCCCTCACCAGACTGCCCGTGGCCACAGGGGCAGGCGGGCCGGCTCCACTTCCCCGGAGCTGGGCCAGTTTTAGAAAGAGCCGTCAGTAGCTTGGCTGTGGGTACTGGTGCTGGACGGGATCTGGCTGCTTGCAAAGCACGAAAGCATTTCCCAGTCCACAATGGGTTCCAGACTTCCTTGGACAAACAGAGGGGCTGGCAGTAGAACTGGGGCGCTCAGATCACGGGCTTTGGGCCCTCTACCCCTCAGACACTGTGACTTCCTGGTGCCGCCTCCCAAGGAAAGGGTGTTCTGCTGGTGTTAATGACCACTTGGAAAGCAAAACCCCAAAGGCATCTCAGAGCAAAAGCAAAGTCTTTCAAGGTTAAAACTCATAGTCCCTCTGTGTTCTGTTAAACTCTTCCCATGCCTGACTGCTTTATACATCTGCTTTCCTGCATTTCCTCTAATGCATGGAGCAAAACATGCCCAATGCATGAGCCTACTGGAACCCAGGCGAGTAATGCGAACGAGTGCAGTGGCCCATGACGGGGGTGGTGGGGACCAAGGCACACTGGAGGGCCCGGGCCCTGTCCAAAGAAATGTGGTGCCCATTCAGCTCCTGCCCACTGTTCCCCTGTAGAAACCTGAGCTCAGAGTTGCTAGAGCTACCCATTTCTCTAGAGGTTCTGGAAATCTGAACTTTTATGTGAAATCTCCATTTTTTTTGCCAAAATGTTTAAAAAAAGCAAAACAAAAACCCTCTATGAGAGTGCATATAAACGTATGGACAGGAATGTCCATAGCAGCTTTAAAGGTGACAGCCCAAACCTGAAATAACCCTCATGTCCTTCAACAGGTGAATGGATGAACACATTCAGGTATGTGAATACAATACATATCAAGGGTGTCAACGTACAGTACTATATCCACATAACACACACTGCTCAACAATAAGGAGTAAACCAGGACTCTCAATTACGTGGAGTGAAAGAAGCCAAATGAAACAAAAAGTGCATACGGTATGTCTCCCTTTATAAAATAGTCTAGAAAATGTAAACACGTCTATAGGGACACAAAGCAGTTGGTGGTTGTGTGGGCGGTGGGGGTGGGGTGGGGTGGAGAAAGAGACAAGAAAGAGGCACAAGGAAACCTTTGCTATGTTCGCTACCTTGATTGAGGTGGTGGCTTCATGACATATATATTTGTCAAAACTTCTCAAATTGTTCACTTCAAAAACATGCACCTAATTACATGTCAAGGATATATAAAACTGTTCAAAGGAAAATGTGAGGGGCCAAAGAATAGGCAGGCCAAGTTCAGCCCATGGGACTACTAGTGTTTGTCTTTGGATTTAAACCACCCAGCCAGCGTTTACGTGATGCCCGATGCACCACACATTTCGTGAGGCGCTGGGTTTGCAAAGGTAAGGGGCTGCTGAGAAGTTCTCCAGAGAGCAGTGGTGCGAGCAGGCCCGGTCAAGGTGAAGATGGTGATCCACGGACACTGGCGGGTGTTACCCAGAGAGAGCCTGTCACCTGCACTCTCAGGCCAAACTCTCAAGGCTTCCTGAAGAATCTAAAGCAGTTGAACTTTGGTTCTCTGTAAATCAAATGCTCTCTTAACTAGCTGCCAGCTAGTCCGTGGGTACTGTCAAAAGCAAACACAGCAGCAGGGAGGCCATAGCAGTAATCCAGGCAAGAGATGGTGGAGGTCCGGCCAGGGTGGAGGCAGAAGGGGCAGTGAGGAGCAGTGAGATCCTGAAAGTAGAACCAACCAGATTTGCTGTTGGAACAGACATGGGGTGGGAGGGGAAACGAGGCGGGTGTCCAAGTGGGCCCCAAGGTTTGGGATTGAGCACTGGAAGTCGGAGCCCCTGGAAGCCACTGGAAGCATCTGGAAGCATCTGGAAGGCAGAGCCAGAGAGGAAAACGGTACAGCAGGAGGTAGGGTGGAAGTCTTTCCCCTGGCTCCGTTTGCTGCTTCTAACTAAGAGAAAGCCCACACCACATGCAAGGAGAGAGCTGTTGAGAGGAAGTCAAGAATCCGACTTATCTCTCAGCCTGACCGAGGCTATTCTTCTGGCTTATCCTGATCCCCCAGCTCCCGGCGTCCTCGTTTGCTCCAACCACATTCACATCCAAGACGGGGAAACTGTGATTTTGACTCAAGGGCTCACATGACTGAGGGGCGGCAGGAACCCCAAAGGGGCATCTGCCTCTGCACAAGCAGGGCAGACCTGGGTGACGGGGTAAGCTGGCCCAATCCCTTGCGGGAGGGATGACTTGGGAGCCTGGAAACGAAATGCAGTGAGGGAAAATCGGATTAGATGGGATGCCTGAGGCTTGCCCTTTGGAAGGATTTGGTTCCCCCAATAGTCTGAGTCTGGAAGAGGGCCAGAGAGAGGGAGGGAGAGAAGAGAAGGGAAGGAGGCAGCTGCTCCCCCAGATGTCTGTCAAAGCCAACTTCGCCCTACACTCCCACTCCCACACTCCGGCTACTCCCTCCTGACAGCGTTGCCCACCCGCCGCCGCACCCCGCCTTACTGGTTCAAAACAGAGACCCTCAGGCCCAGCAGACCTGCTCAGCCAGAATCTGCATTTCAGTGCGATACCCGGGTACTATCTGCAGTTAGTGCACACGCAATCATATCTAACACACACGGGTCCTCGCTACTGCTTCCCAAGAGTCAGGCTGCCACCGACCACCCTTACCACGTCCGCCATACCCCCTCACACCATGCATCCCACAATGAACAACCTTTTCTGCAAATCCATTCAATTGTTAGGGAAAAAAAAAACCCTCAAAAGCATTTATTTGAAAATAAAACTTTGTATCACTCTGATCAGTGGAAAATCCGCATCATTTGCCTTAAGTGCAAACAACCATAAAAATGCAGAAACGAGATGCACGTACAACCACATTACTTAAACTCTGGCTACACGCTGCCGTCTGTCCCAAGTTCTTAGCCCAAGGCCGGCACTCTCTGTTTAAAAGAGGCCAAGAAGGCATTCTAGCATGTGATCAGGACTTCGCCTTGAGATCATGTCAAGGACTGAAACAGGATTGAAGGAAGAACCACTTTCTTGCCTGTGATACACCCACTGTCACTTGCCTTTGCCAGGGCCTGGCTCCCACACTTCAGGATAAACACTGTTCTATAGCAGTGTTCCCATACCTCCCCCCCTCACGCCTTTCCCCCACATTAAGAGCCCACCCCTACAAGGCACTGGGTCACTGGATACAGGTGGGCACTTAAGCTGATCTGGAGTCCCGGGGAGGAGCGGGGGCGGCTCTCAGAAGGCATCGGTTCTCAAAGGCAGCAGTCTGCTCCCGGTCACCAACTGCTTCAGCCCAGAGAAGTCACCAGCCTCTCTTCTAGCAGAGGTCAACATGACCGGGACACACCCTAGGCCCCAGAGCGCAAGGATGAAATGCATGGACCAGGTCCAGGCCAAGTTCCAAGGTTTGGGGTGCGGACTTAGGGATGGAACCCTAGGATCACGGTGAACAGCTAAGATTGTCTATGTACCCCCAAACCCCTGCTGGATTCAAAGTCTGCATGGGAAACTGTGTAGACCTGGTCTTTCCAAGTGGATTCTTATGACAACTAGGGCAATACTTCCTTTGCAGCCCAGGAGAAGATGGGGGCCTAGAATTCTCCAGAAATGCTTCTTGCCAAGGAGAATCAGGCTGAGCTCAACAATTAAGTTAAAATTTTAAAGGGAGCATTTCAAATCCTCCAGCTGAAGCAAACCATTGAAAGGTGAAATGGTTGCTATATGTTTATTTTCGTTCCCTCAATTCCTTTTATTGTCTTAGAAAAACACAACGTGGGATCATCACCAACCTGAAGACAAGTCCTCACTCAGGGAGTGTTGTCAATGTGTCGGGCTGGGGTTTGGTATGTTTCAAATGGGTGCTGGCTTATTTGCAAAGCAGCTGGTCATTAGATAATGAACATTAATAAAAATCCACACGGTTGCAAAAACTCTCTCATCGGCGGGAATGAGACTATTAGTAATAATCCCAAACTTCCCTGGAGAAATTCAGGGAAAAGGCTTTCCTCCCCACCTCCACCCAAAAGATCCTTTTTCTCATTGACAATAACATGAATGCTTAGAGTTACCTTTTATTGAATGTTTACCATGCGCCAAGCACTGTGCTAAGGATGCCACAGAAATCTATGCATTGATCAACTCTAAGTAACATCATCAAGTAAGAGATCTCATTTCCTGTTTCACGGATGAGAAACCAGCCACTGACACCCACCAAAGGAGCTTCCCAAGTCACCTCCAGGCCTCACACCTCATGCCATGAAACATGACAAGGCTCTGTATTTGACCCACAATATGAAAAGCCTCATCAAGAGAAAATGCTTGATCTTCCTTTGGGGCACCCAGGTGGCTCAGTCGGTTAAGCGTCTGACTGCAGCTCAGGTCATGATCTCAGGGTCCTGGGATGGAGCCCCTTATCTGCTCCACACTCAGCGGAGAGTCTGCTTCTCCTTCTCCCTCTGCCCCCACCCCTGCTTGTGCGCGACAGCCCCCACAAATAAATAAAATCTTTAAAAAAGAGAGAGAAAATGTTTGCACAATAACCAAAAAGCCACCCCAGTGTCCCCCCAAGGAGGAATGGATACACGGTTCACATGTCCGATGCGATACTGTCCAGCCTTGCAAAGGAAGGCCATTCCGACACGATCTGCTCGGTGAAATCAGCCTGTCACAAAAGGACAAATAGTGTATGATTCCACTCGTGTGGAAGTGTGACCTGCACTGGTCAGTTCATAAGAGACAGAAAGGAGGGTGGTGGCTGCCAGGGGGACAGGGGACTGGGGAGTGGTTTAATGGGCACAGAGTTAATTCAACACAGGCGTTCTTTTCAGCTTGGGAAGAAGGGAAAACGTTCTGGAGACAGGTGGTGGTGATGGTTGCAGAACAGTGTGAAGGTACCTTACATCAGTGAACTATACACTTCACAGTGGTTGCTATGGACGGAAGGTGTCTCCCCAAATTCGTGTCAAAACCTAATCCCCACTGTGACAGTAAAAGGAGGTGGGGTCTTGGAGGGGTGATTAGGTCACCAATAGGCTCATGAATGAGATTGGTGCCGTGATAAGAGAGACCTCGGAGAGCCATGTGAGGACACAGCAAGAATACGATGTCTGTGTTGAATCTCAGATCTGTACCTCTGAAACAAATAATGCAATATATGTTAAGAAAAAAAAAAAGAAGAAGAAGAAGATAGCAGGAGGGGAAGAATGAAGGGGGGAAATCGGAGGGGTAGACGAACCATGAGAGACGATGGACTCTGAAAAACAAACTGAGGGTTCTAGAGGGGAGGGGGGTGGGAGGATGGGTTAGCCTGGTGGTGGGTATTGCGGAGGGCACATTCTGCATGGAGCACTGGGTGTTATGCACAAACAATGAATCATGGAACACTACATCAAAAACTAATGATGTAATGTATGGGGATTAACATGAGAATAAAAAAAAAAAAAAAAGAAAAGAAAACGATGTCTGTGGACCAAGAAGTGAGCTGCCCCCGGACACCGAATGTGCCCATGGCTTGATCCTGATACTGAGACTTGTGAGAGATGAATGTCTGTTGTTTATAAGCTACCTAGCCTGAACGACTAAGACAATGGTACATTTTTTGCTATGTTTATTTAATGGCAATAATAGGACATTTTTTTCCCAGAAGGAAGGAAGGAAAAGAAAGAAAAAAAGGCTTGAAATTAAAAGCATTAACTCATTCATGGATCATTCTTTAAAAAATATCAACAGGCAACTCAACCTTGTAGGTTCCTCTCAATCATCAAACAAAGATTTAAGGGGTTTCTACTATGTGCCAGGCGGTACATGAAGCAGGGGGCTACATAGCTGGATCAGGATTGATGTCCTGGAGAGACATGGACAAGTAAACCAACTAAATATATTAAATCACAGCCACCAACACAGTGCTTACTGTGGACAAAACACTGTGGTTCAGTTGGTTTCCCTACATTGACTCAGATAAT